ACCTGATCTTTTGGTCGACTGCTCCAAAGACATCAGCCAGTTCTGCCATGATGGTATAGAAACTGGTGGGCGCACTCTCCACTGCCTTATGAAACATGCTCATAGTCATAATCAGCAGGAGACAATATCGGATGTCTGCAAGAGAAGGGTGAGGCACCAAGTTTTTTTTTTTTTTTTTATCTTTTTTCTTCTTTTTCTTTTTATTCTTTCGTATTGCTGGGAAGTGGGGAGGTGTTCTGATTGCCGAGTCTACTGGTGTTACTTCTGAACAGGGAATAGAGAAATTATTAATGGTATATCAAGTCAAATAATATAAGCTGTGAAATTTTAAAGGCATTTTCTTTTGTCTTTTTCTTTCTTTCTTTCTTTCTTTCTTTCTTTCTTTTTTTTTCTTCTTCTTCTTCTTCTTCTTTTTCTTCTTCTTCTTCTTTTTCTGTGTCAACTTCATTTACAGAAATGAAATATTGTAACTTGAATAAGTGACTAGTTTTAAATCATAAGAAATGTGTTGCTCTTCACCAGCTACAAGAGACCATCAAACAGTCAGACGCAGGAGAAGACTGGAGGGCTGATCCTGTACTCTACGAAGCTTGCTTTAGGATGGTGGAGTCGAACTGTAGAGCCTATCGTGGTGGCAATGCAAGGTTGTAGCATTGCCCTTTTAATCTTCTCTATGTGTAATGAACATTGAAGGGTCATTAAAAAAAGAAAAGAAAAAAAAAATGATTCTTGTAACATGATGTAAACCTTAGAATTAAATCGCTGATACCTCAAAGTCTAGGATATTTATGACAAGTATTAAAGACACTATTTTCATAGCTCCAAATATATATATATATTTTTTGTCTCTTCTGCTTTCATTTTCTTTGTGATATTGCATATCATATTATTATTGGTTTGTAATATTTACTCACATGTTTAGGAAACTGGTGTCTGATTCCCGTAGGGTACTGCGGTGCCTTATGCAACACTTGGATTCCCCCGAGATGCCTACTGCATGCGAGGCTGCCCTGCTTGAAATACAGTACTTTATAGCCCGTGACTGGAGAATGGATCCAGCGCTTTATGCAGCATGTTCAGAAAATGCCGAGCGGCTCTGTGGGGCTAGGAGGAGCTGGTTCAATGTGAATACATCTGATCCTGAAGGGGGAGGCAAGCGTCGGTTTGAATCTGAGGGAGGCAAGAAGTCAAAGGTAGAGCAAGTGCTGCCTTGCTTATTCCGATATGTGTACCACCCCAGCCCCAAACTGAGAGTGAGTGTTCTATGCTTGTTCTGTGCAGTATTTGAAACCAAGTTCTATGACCTAGTTTTGATATTACTAGCTTTGAAAAAGAAGGAGACTAAAATTTGTACTCAATGAGGATTGAAAGAAATCTTGTGTTTCTTATAGTCATGATATTGATCCCTTTTTAAAAGGGAGAATCACATTCTGGACTTGAGCAATACACCTCTTTGAAATGCTACAGTTGAACAGCACTTGTGCTGAGGAAGTGCAGAGAGTGATGCAGGAACGGGCAGCCCACGTGGACCTTCACCCAGAGATTGAGAGGGTGTGCATGGGAGAATTAGGGAAGTACTGCTCCTCCCACACTGGCCCTGGTGAAGAAATTGCCTGTCTTCAAGACAACATGGAAATGTAAGTTCAAGGGTATTTTCCTATAGACTTTAATCTAGCCATAAAGGCAAAATGATTAACTTTAGAGTTGGTCCCTTGTTTTCATATGTATTTCTTTGCATAAGCTTCCCCCCCTCCTTCCCAAGAAGTTTTAGTGGGCCACCACTCTTGAATGTGGAGAAATTTATATGCTTTCTTACTCTTGTACATATTTTTTATGTGTATATATATATATATATATATATATATATATATATATATATATATATATATATATATATATATATATATATATATACACATATATACACATACACATACATACACATACACATACATATATATACATACATATATATACATACATGTGTATACATACATATATATACATACATATATATACATACATATATATACATACATATATATACATACATACATACATATATATATATATATATATATATATATATATATATATATATATATATATATATATATATATATATATACACACACACACATATATATACATATATATATATATATATATATATATATATATATATATATATATATATATATATATATATATATATATATATATATATATACACACACACATATATATATATATATATATATATATATATATATATATATATATATATATATATATATATATATACATATATATATATATATATATATATATATATACATATATATATATATATATATATATATATATATATATATATATATATATATATATATATATATATATATACATATATACATATATATATACATATATATATACATATATATATACATATATATATACATATATATATACATATATATATACATATATATATACA